TTGCTAAAATAATTACTCATTTTCGCATATAGATGGGTTGTTGAGATTCTCCTTCTAGTATTGTTATATGGATAGACCCATGTTTTAGTTTCTGCTAAAATTGATTTAGATTTGGTGTCACTTGAAGAAATGTGAGATGGGGGGCTTTCATATTTATTGGAAAATTAACCAGAGGGTAGAGAGGGTGTATCTATTTTCCCATTTATATACGTGTGAATGTATATCTAATTTTTTTTGGATGAATCAAATTTTATTATCCAAATAGTATAGAATTGTTACAAAGCAATCAACCAATCTGTAACAAAGAAGACTAAAAACAACCTACTTACATCAAACACAGATTGATTAGACTATACTCCAAGCATTACAAAGGTTAACATTAGTACTATCTAATCTATTAATATTTCTACCCTTAAGTTGTATTTCAACAGCTTCTTTAATCTTCTTCAGCATGTCTTCGATAGTTCTCTGACGACCTTGAAAAATTTTGTGATTCCTTTCTTCCCACTGTAAGTATATAAATGCAGTCCATGAGATCTTCAAGATTGTGGTGAGAAGAGACTTACCTTTCCATGTTGAAGCAGCCGTAGCAATCATAACATCCCATGATAAAAATGTACTATTCAATCCGTTGAGCGACATAATGGAATTCCAAAGACGAACATCAAGAGGACATTGAGAAAAAATATGATTCCTAGTCTCCTGCTCGATGTTGCAATTAACACAAATATCATCATAATTGATTCCCATTTTGAGTAACTGATCTCTAGTAGGAAGTCTGTTCAGCAATGCCATCCAAGTGATCAAACTGTATTTTGGAATGTGCATTGGGAACTAGATAAGATTGTGCCAGGAAACTTTCTCCCCTTTATTACGAATTGAATCCCAGATGTCCCTTAGCTTTAACGAACCAGAAGAAGAAAGAATAGTGTAAGCTGTAGCACGCAATTTAAAAATTCTATTAACAGTCCAACTTATGTTAGAACCTGCAACATAATTCCAAAAATCTTGGTCTTTAAGAACATAATTTTTAAACCAAGCAACCCAAAGAGATCCATCACAGGCAAGTATTTTTCTAATGAGGTCAATAGTACATGCTTTGTTCCAAGTTTTGGTGTTCTTCAAACCGAGACCACCTTCGGCTTTAGAAAAGCAAATAAAATCTGAATTGACTCGAGCAAATAAAATCCCAATTGACTCGAGCACCTGCAGCTGCCTTGTTGTCATATTAGTGTTATTTTTTTTAATTCTTATAAGTAGTTTTAATTTGTTGTCATACGTCTTCAATTAATATTTTAATTAATAAATAAAATACATATTGATTGATTAAAAATCGCTTACAAAATTTTAAAAAAAATCATCACCAACGTATCAAATTATTATCTATATAGTTTGCATTACAAGAAAAGAAATGGAGAAGTCTATAACTTGATGAAAGAAAGAAAGCTTGCCCTATAAAGTTTGTATGATGTGGTTGGGGCTTTCCTATTAAGAGGAATGATAGTATTCATTTTGCACGTAATGTATTGTTTTCATCTAAATACATACATATTCTCCTCGTCGACCCATATTTATTAATTTTTTTTTTAACTTGATAATCAAACTTCCTAAATACACAAATTTCATGCATTTTTACGTTCAAATTTAGAAATTAGATAAAAAAAAGTATTAATTAAATTTAACTTTATTAACATCGTCATCGGAATGTTATATAAGAGATATGAAATCGAATATATTATATATTCAATGTTTTTCAATTTATAATTAAATATGAACATATATATATATATATATATATATATATATATATATATATATATATATATATATATATATATATATATATATATATATATATATATATATATATATATATATATATATATATAACCAAACATAAATTTGACGATGTAAACCTATGATTTTGGAGATTGAGAAGAAAATGATAAAACATATTAAATACATATAAGTCTAATAATGAATTCCATCCTCTGTTTTAATTAATTTTTTTAAAGAAAAAGATTAATTTTTCTAATGATATATTCACTAACAAATTCACTCGATTCTAAATTTCTAAATAAATTAAAATTCATATTTTATCATAGATAAATATTATAAATTTATTTTTTAGAATAATTTAATATTATTTTTTAAAAAACTAAATATTTTTTTAATACCAAATGAAATGGAAATAATTATTGTTCTTCAATTTTAATCACAGTTTAATTTAAATACTAATTTTGACGATATTTTAAATACAGCTTTTTGTCTAGTTTAGTGGTTCAGCATCCAACCTTGGCAAGGGGTTTTTAGATCAACACTCCCTTCACCTCTAATGACAATATAAAAAATTACATGATAAGGTGAAAACATTAACAATAAATTATCTTAACACAATTATTAATTTTTTAGTGTCCCACGGGTTTTGTAAAAAATAATATGATGATTAAAATAGAAAAATAATAATAAATTGGTGACTAATGATAGAGTTTACCCTTAAACATATATAACGTTTACTAAGTTTTCTTTTCATGATGAACTTTACCAATAAGGAAAAGAGAAAAGAAAGTTCATACATTGTTTGTATGGTCTCATACGTACATTTAAGATTTGACCTTTCTAATATTAAACGAATAATTTGATCTTTAAAATAAAAAATTCATTTTCCTTATGATATTATTATATAATATAGTTCTTATGACTCAATATGGTAGGGTTGGCCATTTGGCCGTCCAATTGATTTCATTCCATGGCAATTAATTAAGCTTAGCTTCCTTGGAATTGAAAGAGATTCTGAAATTTCTGCTCTAATTATACCATATAACAACATGGTCCCTCAAGAATAATTACAAATTCATTATGTTTTAGCTGTCCTCCATTGCTTTGAGATTCTTTTAATTATTATCAACGTGAGTAATTAATGAAATAATAATAAATGATCGACCGGGTACTAGTTCAAAGGACATCCATACAATTTCGAGTTGATTTAGACATGTAATATTCTTCGAATATATTAGCTAAAGTTTTTAAAGTTAAGTTAAAAAGATAATAATATATGTATATATACACTATATTTAGAAAAGCAATAAAATACATATGGATTAAGCGATCTCAGTAGTTAGGAGACTTGTTATCATCCCTTAAGGATCCGGTTTTAAGTACAACAAATATCAAGATTTATTATCAAATGATTAAAAATATTTAAATAAATAATACTTTATATTTATTCAAATTTATAAAAAAATAAAAATACTGTAATAAATCAAAAATAAGAATGATAATTAAAGAGTCTTATAAATCGGCCTACTGTTATATATATAATCAAAAGTAAATCGGCCTATTGTCAAATGTTCAAGTTGGGATAACTCATCCCCATCCTCAAATTTTATAACATATCAACCCACAACGATTTTAATTATTATGTAGATAAATTACATCATTAATATTTAATTATTGAATTTTAGGTTATATATCAATTTTAGTACTAAATTTAAATTATATTTTAATTAAGAATCCTTAAATCATTAACGACAAAATAATATGAAAGTTTCTCATTCTTTTATAGAAAATCATTAACTATTCTATATATCGCTATTGATGAATCACCTCTTGTCATCGGTTATCATTCAACATAAAAATTAGTATCAAATCTCAAATCTTTACATTTGAGAAAGTTTTCAAAACACTAAAATGATAAAAAAATTATGATTATCTTCATACATTTTAAAGAAGATTTTCTTTAAAAAAAATCAAATTGATTAAGTGATAAAGTATAATGAGACAAGTTAATTTGTGAATAAGATAACCGTAAAAGGTATCGAAAAATGATGATATCCTATTATGATTGAAAATAAATGAAAAAGATAATGAGATGAAATAGAAATATATATATTTTTTTTAGTGTTTGCATTAATATGACGTTGTCATCCGGATGTTAATGAATTAATAATTTAATATCATAAATAAAATTTAAATTCTAAAATCAATATATAACATAAAGTTTAGTGATTAATAAAATGATTTATTAAATAAAAGTAAAAATTACAACTTTTTATATTATGAAATTACAATTGCACGATAAAAGCATTGGGATTTCAATATGAAGCATGCTTCTTAACTTTGGGATTCCAACATTGCATGATTTTGGATCTGAAAAAGAAAAAAGTTCATTTACTTTTGTAACACATAAATTTTCAACAGCAAAATGTTTCTCAAAGGAACAAAAGGGAAAAAAAGGTAAAATGGTAATAATAACAGCTTGAATACATATGTGAAAACGATACTCCATTTTCCCAACAGTTAAGATCCACTTTTAGCAGAGAAAAACTAAGCATCCATGGCGGGACGCTTGTCTCTTTACTCTTTCACCGATCCAATGGTGACCCACAAAAAGAAGATCACATTAACACAATCACAACCGTCATGTCAGCTGACCTCATCATCATTATCAAACACCATCGCTATTGCAAACTCTCAAAAGTTCAGATCAGAAGTCAGAATATTTTTGCATCAGCCAATGTATAAGCTTTATTACACCACCATTAAGTTACGGTTGTAATTGTGGTCTCGGTCACTATTGTTACAATATCGCGGTTGCGGATGTTACAAATGATACAATATATTTTATTTATTAAAAATAACTGTAATTTTATGTTGCGCTTACCTTGAAAAATATTACTATGATACTATTACAATGCATTGCGGTCAAAATTTAATACAATGAGTGACTCGATGAGTCCAAAGTGGGACCTCTCGGCAAAACAAATGGGTCCCACAGTACTGCATACGTGACACGTGTACATGGTTAGCCCCATTATAAGCCATACAATTCCCACAGTTTGACACTGCAGATTTTAGCCTTTTGCCCACAAACCCTAACTGGTCCACCATTGGTACAGTCCCATACATTAAATTCAAACAACCCCCAGCAGTACTCTTCTTCATCAGATTCCTCAGATCACACTCTCTTCTTCTTCTTCAGAACTTGTTCAAATTTCTAGGGTTTTTCTCTCTGATCTTTTCTGTATAGGAGGAAGAAGAAATGGGTCACCATTCATGTTGTAACAAGCAGAAGGTGAAGAGAGGATTGTGGTCACCCGAGGAAGATGAGAAGCTCATCAACTACATTACAACATATGGCCATGGATGCTGGAGCTCAGTCCCTAAACTTGCAGGTTTTGTACATTTCTTTTTTCTTTTTCTGTTGTTTTATGATCTAAATTGCATTAGATTTTTCTAACCCTTTCTGGTTTTTTTTGTGTGCAGAACTACTACTACTACATTTGATTCCTTGTTGTTTTTGTGTTGTGTTGATTTGATTGATAATACAGGCCTTCAAAGATGTGGAAAGAGTTGCAGATTAAGATGGATAAATTATCTCAGACCTGATTTAAAACGTGGGAGTTTCTCTCCACAGGAAGCAGCTCTCATCATTGAACTCCATAGTATTCTTGGCAACAGGTTCTTCAACTATTTTATGTATATGTATACATATATATGTATGTATGTATGTATGTATATGTATGTGGTTTTGATTATTTTTTCATCGTGATCATCGGGTTTGAACAGATGGGCACATATAGCAAAGCATTTACCGGGAAGAACAGATAATGAAGTGAAGAACTTTTGGAATTCGAGTATCAAGAAGAAGGTCATCTCCCATGAACATGTTCCGAATTTGGCCTCTTTTGCTGCTGATGTTCATAATTCAAACCCTTTGGAGGAAGCGGCTGCTGGTTTCATCTCTCTAAATGGAAACCCACAACAAGACCAGCTCTATCTTTCTTCCCCGACAGCTCCACTGCTACAAAGTTTAGTTCATCACCATTCGGATTTCAGGCCGAACTCGAGTAGCTTTAACGTCGATTTGGTTCACCATCATTTCCCTATGCTCCCACCACTGCCACTGCCGCCACCTTCGAACTCACCTTCCTTCGACGCTTCATGGACAATGCTTTTTGCACCTCAACACGACCTCGACGATCGGCAAAATCATGATGATGTTTTCTTTAGCGACAAGCTTATGAATCCAAACAACGGCTACGACGAAAACTCCTTAATGGCTCCTTCTCCGAGAATCCTCGAAGGTAACATGATCTGCAACATCCCACATACATCGGTTTCGCTAGAGAACAACATCGACCCACTCGTCTCGAGACTCTCCTCCTGTTTCCCGGTGCCTGGTTCCGTGGGTTCGAACTATGCACATGAGATGCAGGTGGAGTACAATATCGATAACATCGTCACATCTATGCCTTCGTCTTCCTCCTCGTCATCCTTATCAGCCTTATCCGGTGCCGGACAGTATTTGACAAACCCTAATCTTCCATCGACCACCTGGGAGCCTTAGTCGTGGCAGATCATATTCATCACAGTCCTATGGTATTTTCTCTATAAAAGCAATCATTTTCTTGATATAATATATGTATGCATAAGATATATACAAATAAATGTATGTAAAGAAAATCAAAACCTAAATGTTACTAATTCAGATATTCAATGAGGATAATGCTACCTTGATGATGTTGCATAAATAAATACCATGTAGGTGATTAATTTCACAAGGTTCTTAACCTTGATATAATTTAGGTGATCGAGTCTTACAGAGGGCATTTCATAATTCGGAGGTCTTCTACGGAAGCTGCTCTCAACCTGATGTTGGAGGCAGCCTACTATCTTACCTCCCCTTACCCCATTACATATGGGAACAAGGGACAGCCATTTAGGTGATTAATTTCACATATTTCTCTTGTATACCACTTCTTTCTCTCTCTACATATAGCTTTCTCTTTCTAGTTTCTATCATAATCTGTAGGTGGAGACATTAAAACAACGGGGAAATAGTTCATATTTATACAATTTTATGTGGAATTGCTTTTTTTTTAGGAATGGCTGAGAATTCTGAAGATCAATGTGCAGACTATAACATATATAGTAACTGGTTAAGGTCCATTGCATTCCAAGTTTTCAGTTTTAGTTGGATTGATATCTCGTATCACATATAATTTAGATATTATAAATTCGGATTTGTTTTCTAAATTATATATTTTTGTAAACTCCAAAAGGATTTTACAACGTACGTTGCTGAGCTTTCACATGCTTGTGATTTCATCGTCTTCCAACAAAATAGACGTCCGTTAGTGTTCGGATAAAGATACACTACCAATATGTATTTCTATACGTTATTTGGTTCTTTTTTTTATAGTATATATGTAACACCCCCAACCCGTATCCGAGTCTGAGGTATCACATTGACTTTTCAAAACTCTGTTCTTTACAAATCCACTAAAATCTTAATTTCATCATTTAAGAAAATGAATATTTTACATTAATAATTATAATCAAATTGTTTCTGTAAAACTATCAGAACATATTCAATTTAAAATATTGTAACTACATGTCAACTAACTCTATAAACAAAATACATATGTTCAATATGTTTCTGATCTGATCATCGTAAGGAAAATATTGACCTGTCTTGCTTCTCGCTATTCCACTCTCGTTTCTCATACCTACGTGTGAAACAATCACACGCTAAGTCGTTAACTTAGTGAGGCATAAAACATATAATAAAACTCTAACTCGTAATCATGCTTGAACTATTTCTACTAACATATCACATACAAGCATCACATCCACATATACATATACTAATTCCTACTATGCACATTTCATATATTCATCTATAAAATAATTATCCATATGCGCACATATCATCCCTCACTTCATAACTTTATCATCTTATTAGCATACTTTCACATACGTACACATCATTTTACCAAACAAACAATATATCCATTCATATATATATATCAAATACACACATGCATATAATTATCTTCTTTCCTATCATTATCATATTATCACCATTCATATTTCTATTCTCTTGTTTATATGATCCATTATGTTCATATCCAATATCTTATAACATATACAATAATCATTCATACACACATATCATATCATATAATTCATATCACAAAACACATATATACATCACATACATTATATTTTAATGTTATCTCTTATTAGCCCATGTACACATGTGAGAACTGTAGATATGTGAGTCTATTGAGGTTGTGCACTATGCTGTCACCACAGCTCGTATGGGGTCCCATTAGGGGCTATGAAATTTTGTCACGAAGGACCACTATGAAATATCCCGAATGATCACTGTATGTCCCGAAAGACCGCGTAGACCCTTGACTCTTGGCATGCCAACTATACCTATAGCTCTCGTATCATATAACATGGGCATTATATTCATATCACTTCACATATTCACATATACATTTCACTTTTCATATGATTTCATAATCATATGTCACTTAGCTTATAACACTTCTCTTGTGTTCATATGGCATGTAACTTATTATCATCTCTTATTCTCATACCTCAAGTATATCACATTCATATTACAGATTCATATAAGCTCACTGTTTTTTATCACTTATCTTCTTATTATATTATTCACATCATATAATTTATTGTCACATAATCTCATATCACATAACATGTATTATTCAAGTATATTCACATGTCACATGGCTATGTCTTCTCATGTATTCACTTTCATCATATTCTTCTATGATTACCTATTTTATCTCATAACCATATGTTCACATAAGCCACATATCACATACAAAAACATATCCACTCATATAATCAAACATACATATATTTCATGTCATTCACCTACTTATAATCAAGACTTCATGCACTTTAACTATCAGAAATAGACTTATCACAAGTCCAATTTCCATATCATTCTATAAAATAAGATGCACTCACCTTGGCCTCACTAAGTTTCGATCCACTTTTATGATTTCCTTTCTTTCGATCGAATCTTAACTTGATGATCATACCGGAACTTGTTCGTGTTTGATATCTACATAATCATACATTGATACATATTAGTATCCAATTAATATACTCTAATCTATCATTTCTTAGACCAAAAGAAAGGTTTATTTATATTTCCCCTTGAAGTGCATCGATGCATTCTACAGTGTATCGATGCACTCCTTATGCATCGATGCACTAATTGCATTCGATGTTTCCATTTTTAATGGGTGCATCGATGCACTTCCTTTGCATCGATACACACAGAACAATTTCTGGAAATACCCTTGATGCATCGGTACACATTGAATGTGCATCGATGCACATAACCCATAATTCATTTTTAAGCCCAAAAATCCACTCAAATCAACTCAAATGCTTCATCTTTCATCCCCTTTCATGTTCTTAACTCATATACACATGCTTAAACCAATTTATCTCCCTATAAACCATCTTTAACTTCAAAATTCTATTCCTCATGTAACTCAAGAATTATTCCAACTTTGCAACATGTTTTAATTCCAATTCTATGGCTTCTAACTTCTTAATTAGACCCTTGACAAGTCAAATTTAACTTCCAATTTAACTTATCCACTTTCATTCAATATTTCCTTTAAAAACTTCTAATCTTTAATCTCTATTGACTCCTTTATCTTATGGTTTTAAGATAAATTAAGCTTTCCTTAAGCTTAATTATCATCTAATGATCAAAACTCAACCTTAAAATCAACAATTAATCAACAAACAAAGAAACTCACCTTTGAGCTTGGAGATATAGGAAGAGGAAGAAGAAGAAAGAAAACTCTGGAGAGTTCTCTCCTCTTCCACGTGATTCCCTTATCTGATAAAGGGAAAAATAAAAATCTTACTTGTCAATTGACCATTTTACCCTTTAATTCATTCAATAATTACCAAACAACCTTCAACTATATTTCAAATAAGTCATTAAACTATTTAACTATTCTACTTTTATCACCAAATTTCACAAATTCTCATTTTAGTCATTGACCCAAATTTCGGGATGTTACAATATATGAACAAATATTAACCCATATATTATGTGTATAATGTATACAGCATTTAAGAGTTTTTCTATATCCTGTTGAGTTTCAAGACTAGAAGGTAACGTGCATTGATAGGTATTCTTTCACTCGTAGTTTACTTAAGATTGTATATTATATTAATTTTTATGAAAATGCGTTTAATATATATTAGAAGTTACTTTATTAAAATATTAAATAAAAGACTTAATACAAGTTTAAGTGCGTAAATTATACCTCAACTTAACTTTTGGTATCTAAAGATTTTTTTTGGTTAAAAATATGTGTCTAATATTACAACTGTTACCATTTTAGATGTCCAGACCATAACCGCTGTTAAATTGTGCCGTTAAATTTTTCCGTTAAATAACACGTGTCACGTTCTAGTAATTTCAAAAAAAAATTAAAACTTAAAAATTTTATTATATTTATAAAAAAACCATAATTTATCTAAATTTACAAAAAAAAAATCCCTAAAATCATCCCCAAATCACAACCCTAACCATTATTTCTCCCTTGGCACAGACGCTAGCGTTGCCATTGACATCTCCCTTTTTGCCGATCGCCTTCCTTATTGTCGATTGCACCATCAAGACATGTGCAATCGCACAAAAATCGCATTTTTCCTTGCCGTAGTCGGGTTTAAATTGCAATTTAAGGTTCATCAGTAGTTGTTTGTTAGCTGGCTAGCGAGGCTTGGTTTGGGTTAGGTCTGGTCGATGGCAACGAATACGGCAAAGCGTGACAATCAACGTGGTTATAGAGGTTAAAATTAGATTTTTTTCAAAGTTTTGGTTTTTTAAGATTTGAGAGAATTTTGGTTTTTTTTTTTTAATTTTAATAGTAAATTTTTTTTAAATAAAAAATGTTAGAAAATTTTATGCATGACACGTGTCACTTGATGACCAAATTTAACAGCATTTATAGCATGAACACCTAAAATGGTAACGGTTATAATTTTAGGCACCTATTTTTAACGAAAAATTCTTTAGGCACCAAAAATCAATTTGTGATATAATTTTTTTTAATAGTAAATTATATTTTCCGTTAAACAGGGAAATTCATATAATATGAGAGTACGAAGTTGTCAACATTGTCTCTCGGATTTTCTCACCTTAAAATGTCTAAACAACTTATTTCTTTCCTTCTGAAAATCATAAATGTGGTCATTATAAGCTATGCTCAAATTATTTAACTTAGAAAATTAGATTTATTAAATAGTCAAATATAAAAAAGTAATGAAAACAAAAAATTAATTTAATTAATATTATTTTTGGTTCGATTTCAAAAAATTTAATACTAAATATATATATAATTAAATGAAACTACGTACAAGGTTGACATTATTTCAGGAAATCTGGACTGGTACCATAGATGTCATGAATGGCAGGGGCAGTAAACCGGAAGTATCCACGCATCTAGTACTAGTAGGGGCCCTTTTAAAGCCTTTGTTATTGCCTCTTGGTCTTGGCAGTAAATAAATCAGACCCCCTATGCAAATATTCAAATCCCTAGTAATTTTTTTTAAAAATATTTAAATTTTCATTCAATTAATGGAATACTATTTAAATTCAAATAAATACTCGATTTGACTCCAATATGAATATCAGATACGGATATTTTAATA